AGTGAGCAAAGACAACTCAAATATAAACTCCTTGGCACCCATCAAGGCCTGCAGTTGCCAATCACATTGAAATCTGGGATGGAGGGAGACAATGCTCTATGCGATTCTGCTGGGGGAAAGGGGAGAGAAAGAACATTCCAACCTGACTTCTTGAGATAGGGGAGCACATTCCACTCAGATCTCAAGCGGGAGGAGGATAATTATATCATGGCAGCTCAGGGCAAAGAACAATTTATTGTGCCAGTTGGAGGGTGGGGGACAAAGGCACTTTGTCATGACAGCTGTGGGGAAACTTTCCATCGTGACTGAAGTAGGTACGTTTTAAACAAAGCAAATCACTGCAGACGTCAGGAATTAAGAAAAGCGGCATTTTAAGAGCCAACTTGGCAGCAATCCCAAGCATTTCACTGTGAGAAACCCAGGCTTGGCAACTCTATTGGGTCTTGCTGCTGAGGAGAGAAGTTGTAGATGTGACATCTTTAAGCTCTGGGAGTGGGCTAGAGAAGGGAAAGTCCCCACTTTGAACAGGCTCTAAGTACAGATGAGCATATTTGGCAGACACCGAAGCCAGCACTTTTCATATCCAACCAAGAGCCTCATAACAGACCAAGCCCTGCTTTGCTGCAGTTCACCTGGCCCTCTAAACAGAGCTGCCTACAGCATCACCTGCTGGAGTCATGCCCCAGGCTGATGTGAAGGAACCCAAAGGTTATATACAATGAGAGAAGTCGGGGTTCTCAATCTGGGGCAGACGCATATACAGGAGTTGAGGGGGCACAGCATCTCTGCCCTTTCCACGTTTCTATCCTGGGCCCTCTTCCCATTTAGCAAACAATGAGAATCACTGATTTAAGCCAGGAGTTAAGACTTCATCTATGCCACAACAATTTAGAAAGTAAACACTGCTGGTGCCACACCCTACAGCACAAGGACTAGTGGTTGCAGAACTCCAGTCTCCCCAGAGATTAACACCAGTGTATTGTACTTGTGTACAGTCCTTGGACTCAGGTACTCTCTAACCACGAAGGCAAATATTCAGAGTTTCCTCCTCCAGCTGTGACATAGAGAATCAAGTTTAAGGGAGTGCAGCAATACCTTGCGTAACGTATCAACCTTTCAGTTCTCTAATGGAAATCAGTACTTTTGCAGCAGACCAGAGGTATTGTATGTGGAGATGTTTGAAGCCACTTGTCAGTATCACTTTAGTGCAGTTTTTCTATAGCCTGCTGATTCACAGAGGGAGGGTCTCACTGATTTCTACAGTCCAGCTAAACAGGGCAATTCCTATGACAAAAAGACTTTGCATTTTTATAACCTTCTATCCGAGTGCTTTCCAGACACTAGTTCTCATAACAACTATCAGATAGTGACCTATTACTGAGGCACAATCTCTTAAGACTTTTACAAGGTCACACAGGAAGCCTGCAGCAGAAGTGGGAGTAAACCCAATCTGAGCTTCAGCCACAAGTTATTACTTGCATTACAATAGGGCCTGGAGGCCCCACCACTGACTGGGGCCTATTATGGTGAGTCCTGTACAAATTCAGTGAGTGTCCTCCCTTGAAGAGATTACAATCTAAATAGACAGGACAGACAATGGACAGGAGGGGACAGAGGCACAGAGATGGGAGTTGACTTGTTCAGCATCACATAGCAGGTCAGAGACAGACCTGGGAATAGAAACTGAGTCCCAACCCAGTGCCCTATTTGCTGGACCACCCTGCCTCTCTCAAGTCTATCCTTAAGTCTTCGGTCACCTCATGACATCAACAAGCCAATCTCTGAACATGGGTGGACATTCTTTACTTGACAGATTCTTCCTGGCCCTCTACAGACGTATGTACAGCATTGGTTCTCAGTCTGGGGTTAGTGAGCAGCTCTGGGGATTGCTTTCTTGATGGCTAGGTGGAAAGGGGGTCCCGAACACTCTTTAATTTGTTAAGCACTGGAACAAATTGCTTAGGGAGATTGTAGAATCTCTGTCACTGGTGGTTTTAAAGAACAGGTCAGACACACACCTACCAGTAATGGTTTAGTTATTCAGTAGTCCTGTCTTGAGTTTAGGGGACTGGACTTGATGACCTATTAACGTCCCTTCCAGTCCTACACGTCTACGATTCTGTTGTAACATGGGGTCATGGTATGGAAAAGGTTGAGAAACCCTGATGCAGACTATAATAATGAAAAGATTAGGCACAATTTATACTGACAACTTTGCACCCAATATTCACTGATACAATCTTGCCGCAACTAAATCCAGCCAAACAACCCCACCAGTATCCCTTGCTATTCGTGATCCAAGTCAAAATTACTCTTCTTGCTTCTGATTAACTTCCTTCAGCCTTAGTCCACTACCCCTTCATCTAGTGCAAGCTTCTTACATGTCCCTACACATTGATGCAGGAGCCTTCTCCTCCGTAGCGCCTGCATTTAACAGTCTCATCAATTCATCCACTGGATGCTTACATATACATATAAGACACATTTCACATAAGAACGGCCATACTGGGTCAGACAAATGGTCTACCTAACCGATTATCATGCCTCTAACAGTAGCCATTGCCAGGTACCTTCAAAGGGAATGAATAGAACAGGGCAATTTCAAGTGATCCATCCCCTGTTGTCCACTCCCAGCTACTGACAATTAGAGGCTTAGGGACACTCAGAGCATGGGGTTGTGTCCCTGACCATCTTGGCTAAAAGCCATTGATGGATGTATCCTCCATGATTGTATCTAATTATTTTTTAACCAAATTATACTTTTGAACTTTAGAATATCCCCTGGCGATGAGTTCCACAGACTGGTGGTGTGTTTTGTGAAGAAGTATTTCCTTTTGTTTGTTTTAAACTAGATGCCTATTAATTTTATTGGATAAATCCTGGTTCTTGTGTTATGTGAAGGGGTAAATAACACTTCCTTATTCGCTTTCTCCACATCATTTACTATTTTATAGATCTCTCTCATATCCCCCCTTAGTCATCTCTTTTCTAAGTTGAATAGTCTCAGTCTTTTTAATCTCTCCTCATACAGAAGCTGTTCCATACCCTTTATCATTCTTGTTGCCTTCCTCTGTACCTTTTCCAATTCTAATGTTTTTTGATGACTAGAACTGCATGCAGTATTTAAGGTGTGGGCATACCATGGATTGATAGAAAGTATCATAATGCCGTTCTGTCTTATTATCAATCCTTTTTCTAATGATTCCTAATATAGTTAGCTTTTTTGAATACCACTGTACATTGAGTGGATGTTTTCAGAGAGCTATCCATGACTCCAAGATCTCCTTAAGTGGTGACAGCTAATTTAGAACCCATCATTTTGTATGTATAATTTATCGTCAAACAGGACAGCCCCTCATCCATCTCCAAAGTTACAGGCTCCATCTACTTAGTACAGGATGCCTATTGTGGATGTTACTGATGTACATACAGTCCATTATACTAGGAGGCAGTCATTCTATAACTCAGACTTGTGTGTCTGTCCCATTTCTTATCCTGCTTCCCCTCAAATGCTGCAAGAAAAAAATACCCCCCACTTCCCTAAGGAGGGCACGGTTATATTTAGGGAGGTACTGTATCTATGCCAGTCTCACGCTTCCTGCCTCCATGCTCTTGCGGTGTCAAAGTCTGATATCGTCGGGCAATATGACAGCAATCACTTGGAAAAGAAGAGCACAGCTGAGAACACACTTAGGACATTTTGACCTTGGTAAATAACAGTACAGTTCTTAAAAGATTTTTGCTTTGAGGATTTTTATAATGTTTCACAAACAAATTCTTATCACCTACCTGGTTAGCAAAATCCCTCAGGTGAGCCATGGCCCAAGGATGCTAAGACATCCACTTCTGTAAAATCGGGTGGCTGGGGTCCTGTAGCACAGGGATGCAGTAGTGCTATCTCAGCCACCAAACAGCTGTGATGGGCAAGAATACAGCTGCTATACTCAGAACTCCTGGAATCTAGCTTGCTCCCCAAAATGCTACCTCCTCCTTTATCCACTACTGCAGGGTGGTCTTCCCAACCCATTCCCAAAAGCATATCAGCACATCTCACATCAGCAAAACCACCATGGATGCTTCAAAGACACGAGAAACTTGGTTTCAACAGGCAGGAACAGTGCCAATGTCCTGAATGCCCCCTACCACCTCCACTTTCTATGCTGTTCTGCAAGAGCCCTGCACTGGCCCCCTCTCCCCAGTGCCCAGCCTTCCACCCTTCCCCTAACAGCCTGCCCAGCCTGGACCCATCTCCCCAGTGCCCAGCTGGCC